TTTGTGTGTGTGTGTGTGTGTGTGTGTGTGTGTGTGTGTGTGTGTGTGTGTGTGTTATGATGGCAGCACAGACTGCAGACAGGGGACAGTAGTGTGTTGTTTTGCTGAGATGATGATGCCACCATCTATTCAGTCAAATCAGGGCTCGCTGCCAGTGACCGTGTCAGGACTGAAGCCATTGTTCGGGATTTATAACCGTCTTCTTGGCCTCACCGAGACACACATGTAGGACGAAGCAACACTTTAAACATGATCATAAATGCTGTATTTTCGTGCATTTCTTCATTAAAACAACAGTCACAGTTGTAGTCAAAAGAAGGAAGATACATTCAGATGCGTCATAATCCATGTGGTATTGCACATAATCCTGATATTAGTTCCCTTTATTGCATGTCTATTTACTCTGAACTGGCTATATAAAGATGTTTAGTCATATTGCTTAGCTTCTTATCTTTTAAAGAAGACCTCACACATGAATATAAGCCTCAAGTTATTCCTGATTTATTTTGGGTATGTTCTTTTCTGGTGTTTTTTGTCCTAGGGCTTAAAAGGTTAAGTGGAAATAAAATAGAAATGATTCTGGAATATCCTCAGTGGGTTTCCCCTGACTGCCTGTGACAGCTGAACAACCCAAACAGTCAGGATTGAACTCACGTGAGCGTCAGTAATATTTTATTGTTTGTCTGGCTGCCGCTTTTTGACCCAGTTGTTGTGTGTGTGTGTGTGTGTGTGTGTGTGTGTGTGTGTGTGTGTGTGTGTGTGTGTGTGTGTGTGTGTGTGTGTGTGTGTGTGTGTGTGTGTGTGTGTGTGTGTGTGTGTGTGTGTGTGTGTGTGTGTGTGTGTGTGTGTGTCAGATACCCCACAGCAGCGACAGATGGGGATTTGGTTAACCCTGCCTATAATGCCAGATAATAAAGCTCAGATTCCCTCACACAAGTGTGCACACACGTACACACACAGCTGCAGAGCGGCTGGCAAATCCTGGCTTCTCCATATGCAAATACACACAATGCAGCTGACCATCGCTCTGCTGGCATTTGATACCAGCTTTTAACCACGCTGCCACACCCTCACACACACACACACACACACACACACACACACACACACACACACACACACACACACACACACACACACACACACACACACACACGTAACCCCGTGCCTTCAAGTCTACATACCAAGTCAGTCCTTTACATTTGGAGCAGCAGATGGAGCTTGCAGAGTCTCCAAAGTGCTGGACGTCTGTCTTAGTGTCTTGATGCACAATGTACTCCGAGATGATGCTCATGTTATAGCCTGGAATATAAGGATGCAGGTTATTCTCAGATATTAGAGTCATTTCCCTCAGCACCTGCGTTGTGTGTCTGTTTCTGCGTCTGTGTGGTTGTTTCTGTGTGTTCCTCTGTGTCCGACCATGTCATGCTTGTTTTTGTTTGCACAGCCCTCAGCCAGGGGTGTGTGTGTGTGTGTGTGTGTGTGTGTGTGTGTGTGTGTGTGTGTGTGTGTGTGTGTGTGTGTGTGTGTGTGTGTGTGTGTGTGTGTGTGTGTGTGTGCGCGCATCAGACAGCCCTCCAGCTTCCTGTGGCTTTGAACTTTGACCTGCACAGCAGCACTAGCAGCCGTTAACCAGTGGAGAAACAGCTGGCTGCCATCTTTGAACTGACAGTGTGTGTTTAGCGATGAGGTCCTGTAGGAACATGACTGCAGAACAAAGGAGAAGGCGGAGGTGTGGCGAGCCGGACGCTGATAGACCACGCTTTGTGTGTGTGTAATGGACTGTACCTTCATGAGACTTAATTGGGCTGCTGTCTCTTTTTCATCTCTGACTAGTGACCTTTACAAAGTGTGATTCACAAATTGAGTTTCTACAAATAACATTAACAAGTGTAGGTGGTAATCAAATCCAAACACAAGCACACAGTGTTCATTCCTTCATTTATTTTTAACTGTGTTGGGATGGGATGCTATATATCTGTGCTGTTTGACTGCCAATACTTAACATTATTTAATTAGACCAACACTAGCCTCATGATTTCAGATCAGCAGTTTATCCTTAATTGTTTAGGCTGCAGGCAGAAGAATTTGAATCGATAAAATAGTTGCCCGTTCATTCTTCAACAAGTCAACGTTGATAGCAATTCCTGAAACATTGGGAATAAGGAAAGACAAGACAGTAAAGTTTGAGAGTAAAGTGTGGTACTGCTGTTGACCCAGAGCACACACACCCACAGTATCAACTAGCAGCAGGCCAACACATTAAATATGTAGGCATGTGTAAAGAAACCCTGTCCTCTGTTTCATCGAATCCAGCCGAGAGCACCTCGATGCTCTTTTTTTTCCGACTGCCTCATTCCACCTCTTCCCCTCCTCCTCTTCTCCACTATCTTTTCAACACACACACACACACACACACACACACACACACACACACACACACACACACACACACACACACACACACACACACACACACACACACACACACACACACAGGCCGGAGATGTGTGTGTGTGTGNTGGAGCGGTACCTGGACACCGGGTCGCTGCACACGCTCACCGACCGCAGCGCCATCTGCTGCCAGTACGAGGCGGTGATCACCTCTCAGCTCAGGGTCCGTAGGAAGAGGATTTTACACGCACAATTATAATGAGTTTACCTTTTAGTGAATTTACTGTAATATAGACGGACAGAAGGACGGACGGACCGATGGACGGACAGAAGGACGGACGGACGGATGGACGGACGGACGGACGGATGGATAGATAGACGGACGGACGGACAGACAGATGGACAGATAGAAGATAGACAGACGGACAGACGGACGGACGGACAGACAGATGGACAGATAGATAGATAGGCAGACGGACGGACGGACGGACAGACAGATAGATAGATAGATAGATTAGTACTTTATTGATCCCAATTTGGTAAATGTTTGCGTTGCAGCAGCAAAAAAAAACAAGGCAATGTACATAAGAGAAATAAAGACACTGGAAATAAACAATCCAAAATATTTCTGAAGTAGAAATAAAATAGCATTAAAAAGTCAAACAAATATAATTGTGGTAATACAAATTTCCAGTAACAAAATATAATGCAGGATATTACAGTATATGTAGATTAATTGTGCAATAAATGGATTATTCAATATTAAATAGGAATGTAAACTGTACAGTGTGATTTTAAGTCCAAGAGAAGCTATGGAGCAGAGAGTTCTCTGCCAGCCAGAGGTGATTTGTTATAGAGTTATTGCAGTGGGCAGGAATGTTTACCTGTAACGGTTTTAGTGAATGATCTGTAATATCTGTGTCTGGTCTCCATCAGGATCAGGTAGAGAAGGTGTTCCAGAAGCAGAGCTCGGTCCACGAGATGTTTGAGAAGAGACGCGTCAGCCTGAAGAAGCTCGCCGCCAAACAGACCAGACCCGTCCAGCCAGTCGCTCCCAGACCTGAAGTCAAGTCCCCACTCTCCTCTCCCAGTAAGCCTGGATCCTTAGATAGACTGATATAATTAAAGAAGACTTATATTTTAAAACTCTGCTCTTCTAATGGCTAATTGTTTTGTCCCTTTCCTTCAGATCAACAGAGAAAAGAGAGGAGATACTCGGCTGATAATGCCATCTGTAAAAGGGTAAACACTGTCAAATACACGCAACATTAAAACATTTGTCTTAGTTTTGGATCATCCATTAGAGGTAGAACCATATTAATACATGTGTGTGTGTGTGTCCAGGTGGAGTCTCCCATACATAACGGTGGCACTAGACATGTGTCTCTCTCAGAAGAAGAGGAAAACCTGGCAGTACTTCGGCGGTAAGGGTCTCAGGGCGGAAAGAGAGGAATCAAACATACATTCATTGATTATATATAAATAAAATAGTAGTAGAAATCAACTGTTAAGAAAATAACTAAGTTTTTATTGTGTATTTCTGTGTTGCAGCCACGTGATGAATGAGCTTCTGGAGACGGAGAGAGCTTATGTGGAGGAGCTGCTGTGCGTGCTGGAGGTGAGTGGTGGTCTCGTCACTTCAGTTCATGCCCACATCCTAAATATCAGCAAATCCATTGATCTAACGTGTGTGACATTTAACTCCAGGGCTATGCAGCGGAGATGGAGAACCCAGCCATGGCTCACCTCATCCCCAGCACCCTGCTGAGCAAGAGGGTCGTTCTGTTTGGAAACATGTCTGAAATCTACCAGTTTCATAAGAGGTGCGCTTTCCCCCAGTCTTTAAGCTAAGCTAATAAGAAAGTGGGATCAATCTAACTCCCTGCGAGAAAGTGAATAGAAATAAATCTCAACACAAACTAAACTTTAACACTTTGTTTCATGCTGTTTGTCTTCAGGACGTTTCTAAAGGAACTGGAAGCGTACACTGACTGCCCAGAACTAGTGGGCCGCTGCTTTTTAGAGAGGGTAAGCTACCTTTCCTGATCAATTAAGCACTCTTTCAAAGTCAAATCAATTCCATAACTCCATGTCTCTGTGCAGATGAAGGACCTGCAGATCTACGAGGCGTACTGTCAGAATAAACCTCGCTCTGAGAGTTTGTGGAGACAGTGCTCCGACTGTGCCTTCTTCCAGGTACCACCATTCACCTCAAACTGTAGCTTCCTTTTCCTGTGGCTTACAAGACCAATACACTCTAAATCAGTGTTTCTCAAACCTTTTCATACCAAGCACCACTTAACCAATAAAAAAACACTCTCGGACCACCTAACTCCACAAATATCAAAAAACACATCGTTTTTCTTAGAACAGATTACAAATTGCTTGAAAATGTTACAAACAAGTGGCAACATGTGTGACGAAGGTGTTGCGCTGGGCTATATCATGCAATCGAAAGTTAAACTTAACCTCGCTCCATTGCGGAGACATTCCCGCGAGAGTGCGGAAAACTAAAATGTATTTATTTATTTCAAATGTGAAATTGTACCAATATACTCACGGACCACTAGGGGGCGCTCACGGACCACCAGTGAGAAGCACTGCTCTAAATATCTTCCTTGTTTTGTGAACCAGGAGTGCCAGAAGAAGCTGGAACATAAACTTGGTTTGGACTCCTACCTCCTTAAACCTGTCCAGAGAATCACCAAGTACCAGCTCCTGCTAAAGGTGAGCTGTCTCCGTGTACTGCTGTAAATCTAAGTGTTTATTTCAGACTGTCACTGAAGCTTTGTTTGTGTTTACAGGAGTTGTTGAAGTACAGTAAGGGGTGTGATGGCTGTGATGACCTGCAGGAAGCTCTCTCCTCCATCCTGGGGATCCTGAAGGCTGTGAACGACTCCATGCACCTCATCGCCATCACAGGATACGAGGTCAGAGAAATGACTACACCTCAAATCTTACATGAATCTCCCCCGATCCTCATTAATACCTGCTTTCTTTTCCCTCTCAGGGTAACCTGTCAGATCTGGGTCGCCTGATGATGCAGGGCTCCTTCAGCGTGTGGACGGAGCATAAGAAAGGTCACGCCAAGGTCAAAGATCTGGCCCGGTTTAAGCCCATGCAGCGGCACCTGTTCCTGCACCAGAAGGCCCTGCTGTTCTGCAAGAGGAGGGAGGAGAACGGGGAGGGCTACGAGAAAGCTCCGTCGTACAGCTTCAAACACTCCCTCAGTGTACGCTAACATCAATCACATTATATTAAATATATTTGTGCTCTGTAGTGAAAGATTAAGACTGACTTTGTGCTTTCATTCAACCCTTTAGATGAGTGCGGTGGGCTTCACAGAGAACGCTAAAGGAGACAACAAGAAGTTTGAGATCTGGTGTAACTCCAGAGACGAAGTTTTTATAGTCCAGGTAAACTCACTCATTCTTGCTGCTTTGATAAATGGAGATTCAAGCCCATCAGTTTTTGTAAATGCAGTTTTTTGTTGTTATTTTTCTCGTCTAGGCTCCAACACCAGAGATTAAAACATCGTGGGTGAACGAGATCCGCAAAGTTCTGACGCAGCAGCTCAAAGCCTGCAGAGGTATCGTGAAAACACACAGTCACACACGCCTGTTTGCATTTCTTCTTCTCTGCTTTCTGTAATACATACCTGCTTTCAACTCAAGTCAATGTTTCAGATGCCAGTCAGCAGAAGAGCTCAGACTCCGTTTTCCAGAGTCCCTCCAGCAACAACTCCTCCATCTCCCTCAGGTCAGTGTTCCATGTGCTGCACCCACGTAAGAAGCCTCGTTAAAATGCTTTTTATTTATTTGCTTTTTTTTTTCTTTTTCTCCAGTCCCTTTCGCAGTAGTGGTTCGAAAAGCCAGAAGAAGACAGAGGAGAAGAAGGCGGAGGCGATGTCCGACTCCTCTTCTTCACCCAAACACAAAGGTGAATGTCTGATGTCCTCACACACGGACGTGAAAAGAGTTTCATAATTCAACTATGAAATGCTCCTGCGGTGAACTCCCACTGATCTACTTTTCTTCATCACCTTCATCCTCTTTCTGTCTCTCTACCTCTTTGTTTATTTTTTTATGGGCTAAATGTATTAATTCTTCAATGTTTGCAACACACTCTCTTTTCGTTTCCTCCCGCTCTCCATTTCAAACCATCGTTTCCAGATGAGCCAGTGACCAGTCCCACCACTGACAGGTCTGCAGTGGCTAAAAAGCGTTTTACTTTGCAGGGCTTCAGCACTCTCAAGGGTCCCAAAGGTAACGTCAGTGGACTTTAGGAGGTTTTAAAACAGGCACACTAGCTCGTTTATATTAATGAGTCAGGCTTTTATTCTTGCATTATTTCATTATTTTCATTATTCAGCGCTAAAAGAACAACCTCAAATTTAAGAAAATAAGTATTCAGTAGATGGTCCTTTCCCTACAACCAATGTAGTTATCATACGTTCTATATTTAATACACTTCATATACTGCCGTGTTATTAATTTAAAATCAATGATTGCCCTCTGTCTGATCTAATCTAGAGCTTAACATTTGTCTGTGAGGTATGTTGTAGACACTCTGCCCCCTAGTGGTAAAGTCTAACATTGCCACAGCTCTAGATACATGATATAATAATTAAAAAGGTCAGGGTTAGTCTTGCTTTCCGGCGGATCGATTTCTCACCTTTCTCTTCTTCTTCTTTTTCTTCTTCTTCTTCTTCTTCTTCTTCCCTATCTTTATTTTCTCTGCCTGTGTGGCCAGGCTCGGCCATGAGCCCCGAGCACGGCTCCAAACGCCACTTGGTCAAGAGTGACCCCACACCGTTTGGGTTCAAAGGTATATTGTTGTCCCGTAATCGGAGCCCATTTAATTCTAGAGGCCATCGTTCATCCTCCCATCCCTCGCCACTGAAGCGTGCTCCGCTCTGTGTGTTCTCATTATGTAGATGTTCATCTGTGTCTCACATAGAAGGATACAAGTCAACGATAATCCAGCAGTAGAAGCTGTTCTTCGTACCATCACCCTTCATTTATGTGTGGAGAGAGAAATGTGTTGCATTAAAACAGACTATCTGCAGGTCTTGAAAGTGCTAATCCCAGTTGTATTTGTATCATGATAGATTTCATTTGCACTAGTTGCCAATCCAGTACAATATGTTACTGTTTTGCACAAATGTACACCACTGAAATATCTCCACATTTCTTTCTTTGGCTTTCTGAAACCTGCAGATGCTCTGTGACAAACATATATATATATTTTTCACAGGTCATCATCATCATCATCACTGAATGATTTAGTCTTGTACCTTTTATCATCAGGGTCACTTAACAAATGGCAGTGGATGAATGGTTTACTAATATATAAGAGGGTGGAGTCCTTTCTCCTGGTATCTCACCCAGCAGTCTCACTGTCTCGCTGTCACTGTCTCCGTCTAGAGCCGGCTCCTCATGTCTCTCTGAGCAGAGTCAGATGGATGAGTGCCTCTAGTCTGTTACAGAGCAAGCGGCGAGGTACAGATCGCTCTGAGGATCAGCCGCTGTAGGTGTTTGCCGTGGTTTGGGGTGATGATTGATTTTGACTAGAGGTAAAGTGTCGCAAAATATCCACTTTTCCTTTCATTTAGCCTTCCATTGAATCTTATGATCTTCCATTTGGCATTATATACATTTTTAAATCTACTTTCGGTGTGAAATATACGATTTTAAGACTCAATTCAGTGCTAAATGTATTTTTTGCAAATATTACTCTACCTCAAATCAATCACTCTCTCTTCTTCTACTATTGGGTGTTCTGGGTTAGTGGTGGTGTGGCGTTGATTAAATAATGAGACTGACTTTTCAGCACTGGCAGTCAGAGCAGCCGTTAAATTATGAGGTGATTTAAAATCTTGCCTTTCTTTGGATCGTGAGACTTTGATTAGATTTTTACTGGGATCTATCTGCTGTCTCCGCTGATCTTCTCGTGTGTGTGTGTGTGTGTGTGTGTGTGTGTGTGTGTGTGTGTGTGTGTGTGTGTGTGTGTGTGTGTGTGTGTGTGTGTGTGTGTGTGTGTGTGTGTGTGTGTTGATTTGTCAGAAAAACCTCTTACAGAATAAATCTGGATCATTTTGCATGTTTTTGAGTCATCTGATTAGTGACCCAAGAAGCATTTTCATGCCACATGAAGTTAGTGTGTGTGTGTGTGTGTGATACCCATTCATCCAATCACCTCTCAGTATCCCACCTCCCCTGCCTGTAAATCTGCTGACCTGTGTTCCCTTTCACAGGCTGGAACAAGGCGTCTCTCTCGGTGGACGCCTCAGAAGAGAATGAAGGGTACTCCAGCAGCGAGGACCCCATGAACTCTGACCCCGAGGACGACGTAGGGAAGAAGCTGGTGAGCCTGAACACATTTAAATACAGCATGCTTTTCGGATGTTTGCCACCTCTAACTGACTCTCTTTTACCCTTTAGGCTCCAGGAAAGTATACAGTGTTTGCAGACTGCGAGAAGGCGGGACCTCAAGAGCTGTCAGTCAAGAGTGGAGACATGGTGCAGCTGATCAGAGAAGGAGAGGAGGAACAGTGGTAAAGTTCTTTGGCTTTATTCTGGTATTTCTCTGAAGGCCTTGAATAATGATGTGGAATAATGCCAACAAAAGGACGATATATGATCATATATTTATGATTTCTGCAGGTTTGTGAAGAACCTCCGCAGCAGTAAGGAGGGCTGGGTCGCTGCAGCAAACCTCCTCAGCCTCATCTCAGAGTCGAAGTCCTCTCAGTCGCTCAGCAGCTCAGGTATGTTCCTGCTTTATTAGCCCTTTGGACACTGAGTCATGCTGCGTCCCTGCCCACATCTCAGTTTCCTCTTGTGTGTTTGTCCAGCAGATGGCAGCGTCTCCGGGAACATCAGCACTTCCTCCAGCTGCAGCGAGACATACACCAGCTTCTCCGACATCAAACCCTGACCTGGATCCATCACAGAACAATGTCCATGTGGATTTACAACAAAAAGCCCTGAAGCCGACCCTGACAGGAGGACGAATCAAATCACAGAGACCATCCACGTCACAGTTTGACGATCCAACTATAAATCAATCATCTCTGAATCTGCGGATGTTGCCAGTGTTTTAGCTGAGTCATCAACACCCCTCTTTCTTACAGTATTACTTTCTCATTTCAGATTATTTCACCTTTAAAGTTATTAACATGTAAGGTATGTTCACAGTGGCAGATAATTGGAATGACATCAGGGAGAAATAGTTTCACATCATACAGTCACGTCAGGCCTTCTTTCAAAATAACATCACTGGAAACTACAGATAAAAGTATTCAGTCTATTATTCAACCCATTTGGTTATGTAGCATTAAAGTGGGCACATTTAAAAATATCTGCGCTGCAATGAACTCCTTCAACATCACAGCAGAGCGATAGATTCTTGTGTGAATCAGCGACAGGTATAGATGCTATCAGACCGGCATTTCACACCATGCTTTAGTGTCAGACATTAATCGCACGCTGTTAAAACTGGCAGCTGGCTGCAACAAGAAAAAAGCTTTCGGTGCATCGTGGAGCAGGTCACACCTTCAGGCCGTCTTACTGGAAGTCTGGTCACCTCTTTGTATGTAAGGTCATAATGTCTGGCGGGCAAAGGGTGTCAAATATTCAAGAATGCTGTATTCCCCCCATCTGGTCGATAAGAGCTTCCCTGGTTTCACCGTATTAACTTATATAATTCATCACTTGGTGAATGTCAGCCACAGCACCACCCGGTGGGCAGATGTCATGCAGCTACACATGAAATCACTTAACAGAGCGGCAGCTTGGAACAACTTTTAAAACCTCTTTTCTTTTTCCAAGAGTGATTGTCTAACTGGCCTCTGCACTGCTCTGGGTTTACCTCTCAGGAAGGTGTGTGGGCAGGCAGGTGTGACTGCATACCTGTGTGTCGACTACATGTCTTTGTGTGTGTGCATTCTTGCATATGTGTGTGTACTTCAAAAAACAACTCCAACTGGCTATTTAGCCGCAGACAGCAGCTGGATCAGAGCTACACATTAGGATATTTCAGCTCAATTACTCATGCTTTTACCTGCTGGGTTAGTTTCTCATTAGGAAAAGTTAATTAATAACCATTTTAGGGACTCCTTGGACAGAAAAGTGTCAATACTCTGCACACAAATCCAGTTTGTGTGTCATGGCCTATCTTTGGTTTGCACTGCAGCAACAAAAGCAGCTTTGTCCCTCCCTCTGCTCCCAGCCCCGCTCAGGCATGTGACAGCAGCCACCTCTCCTCAAGCAGGGCTAACCCGGAGACTTTTCTCAATGTGTTTGCACCACAGGCCCTGCAGCGAAATGTGTTATGATGATGTAGCAAGGCAATTGAATAACAAAGTGCATCAAGTTTTGAAGTTTTGAGTAGGCTAATATGGCCCTGTAGTGGGAACCAGGATACAGGTTGATGACACATCTCTGACAACCAGCTGCTGTGACACACACACACACACACACACAGACAGACAGACAGACAGACAGACAGACAGACAGACAGACAGACAGACAGACAGAGAACCTGTGCTATTCTGAACATTGAATGACACCTTTTTTCTTACATGGTTTTTCAAAGGTGTTTTTGATACCCCTAGATTTCTACTGTATCCACGAGGCGCACTGTAAAACAATCTGTTCCTTTCTCCATTTTTAATGTCGAATGTGTGACTGTTGTTAAAAACAGAAAAAGTGCAGCATGCTGTTACACTAAAAACCAGCCCCGCCCGTTTATTACTTAATAAATGGGTTGTATTTGTCCATATCTGTGGTTTTGTTCAATTCGACCCTGATTTGAGCTTTTTGCTGAAAACCACTTTTATACGCATGTCTTCCCTGTGAAAGGAACGATCTTTCTCCAGAAAAAAGGAAGCTTAATTATAAACCAGAGAGTAAACTGAGGCTAGCATTGTGTATGGATCCATGTCAGAGTGGGAAATTACACTTGTACAGATGTGTCCTCTATACCTCACATTGTTTCCCTCGAGAGCATGTACATTGTGAAGCGGATCATGAGTCTGTGCGTCATCTCTCTTTGTGGCATGATCTTCATACTCCTCTCGCGTCAAAAGCCCTGAACAAGGCAAGTCTTTTTTTACCAGGCACTGTTGTATTCTGTGAGAGTTTATTTTCTGCCCTCATAAAGCTGACACGGGCACTAAACTTGTCAGCGTTCTATCATGATCACTCAATAAAGTTATTGAATAATTTGTACTTTTTGACTCGGAGGCCGGGGAGACGAGAAGGGTTCTATTTTTTTGTTTCTTTTTATGCAGCACATTGCAGCAACCACTGTCTTTATTTTCCTATTGTATCTACTGAGTATGGTGTTGATATAAATATATTATAATGAGATATATCTGTGTATATTTGTAAATATGTATGTAAAATGAACAGCAGCTTTAATAAAGTCTGAGATGGTTTCCTCTATTTTATTTGCATCTTTTCATGGGAATGTAGGCTCTGAAAGCAGCATTACTCAGCACTTTTTTAATTAAATAAACATTGTATGAATGTTTACAACTTTAATATCCACCATAAAAACATGGATAAATTGCCAATTTTATGAATTATGCATTTTGATTCAGAAGATTAGGTTTAACCACGTGGTTAATAACCTCCAATGGGCTTTTCACAGTTTAGACTGTCACCATTTGGATTGGGGTGCGTTCCAATATATATACCACCCGACCGTCAGCCTCTTTTTTCCTTCATTTACTCCTCTCACTAGAGCATAATAAGTACATTATGTCTGACAAGATATAAAGAGTTCATAAAAATCTATCAAGTAGAATTTTGGGGGGTTTAAATGTGATATATGATACCATTATTTGCAGGTTGTTGGGTCGAGGATCTTGATGTGAGAGAATGTGAACGAGACCAAGCCGTGGCTGGAAAGATACAGATGCGTAAAGTTTGCATGCGGGAGAAGCACTAATACCGGAAGTGGCGTGATTTCCACAATAAAACAAACGTATCTGTGTGACAGAATAATAACACGGTAATAGTGAAATTATTAATTTAATTCGTTCATTTAGGAAGTATTTCCTTTATTAGTAAATCTGTGTTTCATATGTATACTTTCAATTTCCTTAATGGTTCCATTTCTTTAATAAAACAACGGTTCACGTAGTTTTTATTGTGAAAGTGCACACCGGAAGTGAGTAATTGTATTCCCGCTAGTTTAACAGACTACTGGAAAGCGACCAGATGGAATTCAGCACTGGCTTCTTAACAGATTCCGCACATTTTAAATTGTATCGCACACATTTTTTAGCGGACTTTCTTGGCATTTGACAAGCCCTGGCGTGACTACAAGGGCCTGTGAAACGGGGACAGAAGAAGACATTTAAAGACCCAACATCTTCCCACTGTAGGTATAATTTCTAGTCCATAATAATGTCGAAGAGAGAGGGGTGTAGCCTTGTTAAATCACGTTGTGTGGGACTGTTTATGCGGCCTAATGTGTCATTTACTGCCTACAGCTTGTATTGCTTTACACACTGTCGTTCACGGGGTCTTTAATTCTCCAGCAGCACATATACAGTGTGTGTTTTTTGTGTTCGCTTTTTTTTACCTCCTTGCTATGTTACTTTAGACGACCAGAGTCATGCTGGCAAGAATGAAAACAACGCAGCTTCCGGTCCCATCACAATAAAGCGTGTGTTACAATGATCTAGTCCTGATATTATTAGTACATTAATTAATGCATTTCTATCTCATGATTGACCTACATTTTATTTAACTATTAAATTGATTAATTGAAGAAATATTTCTCAGATTGATCAATATGATTAACTAATAATAAAAGCAGTTGTCATATTTATATATATTTATATATATATATATTTATATTTAAAGCATAGTCATATTTTACAGCTCTTTCTGACTTCATTTGTATGTGACTCCAATTATGTGTACTAATATTCCTAATGCCTATGCTAGGATTAGACTCTGGTTGTTGATTTGTTCTTTTCTCTTTAAATTCTTATATACACAAAACTGCAGCAACCTAATCTAATGAAGAAACTGTACAGTATATTGACACAGTGAGTTTCTTCAGTATAAGCCAGTGTGTGTGTGAGCCTGCTGTTGAAAGACATGTACTACTGTCACACCCCTCCATCGTTTATTGCATCACCAATTGCATTTAAAATCTGATTATATAATATATATGACAAGTGGGTTTTCTCTATACCTGTAACTTGCCTTTTGGAGGCATACAAGCTTCTCAAAAGCATATTTTACATTTGAGGCACCCCTTTGTTCTCCATCGAAAGTTTAAAAGGAGCAATTTTTCTCTCATCATTATCAATCTCAGGAATGGATGAGCTGATGTTTGTCCTTTTCAGACAGCGTTCCTCTCCGGTTGCCTCGGAGAGAACAATCTCCTTGTGACGTCTACAGAGAACATTTCTCTGTATCTTGAGATGGATGGATTGTGATGGAGATCAAACACTCAGACCCTCATTGCTCCCTTTCTGACAAGATACAAAACGGGGTTTTTCTAAGACTTAATGAATTTGATTACCTTCGTTCAAGGCTCTTTAAAAGTCAAATTGAAGGTGTTTGATTCAAGAACTGCTCAAACGCCTTCATTTGACTGAAAAGGTCTTTGTTTAATTTAATCTGGCTGAGTATTTAAGGGTTAAACATCCTCCTTTCTCCTCCAGTTCTATCATGAAAAGGAAATACTGTCAGTTTAAAAGCCGCCACCTATGTTCTTGTTTGAAAGGTGCATTCATCACATTGTTGAAAGCCTACAGGTTTGCGAGCATGCCTAAAATCTCTAGGTCAAGCAAAAAAAAACATGTTGAACCAGGATATTTTAACGTATGCAAGAAAGACAAATGTGAAACCTGTTTTTTAGCATGCGCCGAGAAATGATCGGCTTGTATTCACTGCTTCTGACACATTGGCAGACACATAGGTGTGACGGGTAACCATCTTGCTTCACTGGGATGACTTGGCGTTAGTCATCAGTGCCAGTGTTACTACATGTTCCTGTGTGTTACCGTCATCTGGAGCGCCACAAAGCACCGTGCTGCGTGACGATTGATGAGAAGATTGGTATCCATGTGTCACAACAAGACGGGACAACTTGTTATTTTATTTTTTTAGTGGTGGATCTTTAACAGAAAAAGCAACTTAAATAGTATTTGTCTAGCTAGAAATGTCTCGGGGAATTGCTGTTTTTCTCTGTTGTATGTGACTTTAAACTTTAAATCCTTAGGTATTAGACAGAGAAACCAAGCATATTGAAGATGACACGTTTGTTTATAGTCACGTTTTCACCATTTTATGACATTTTAAACACAAAACAGTTCATCAAAAAATAAAATACTTAATAGTTGTAGCCCCAGATTGGTCTTTAAGGAAATCATACAGAAGATTATTATCATAAATAATGTTTACAGGAACCTATCATTGTGACCTACCTAAGGTGTCTAAGAGTGGATTTATTCATTTTAATCAGATTATAATTTTGGCCTACTGCTTTATTTGTATATCCTTATTTAAGTCTCTTATAATTACATCTGAACATGTAATATATTTGGGGCAGTGTGCAGCCTTTTCTCTGCTCGCTGAGTGTTCAGAGGGTTCAGTGGGCACCAGATTAATTCCATTACGTAACATTTAGTCAGTCTTAAGCAGTGGAAATGGGGGCTTCGCAGCAATATAGAGCCTTAAGCTCTCCAGGACTTAAAGACGTGTTATTAAACGATTAAACGGACCATTTTAGTACCGTTTTAATAATCTGAATGTTTAGCTTCAGCTGCAGCAACACCGAGCGGGAGTTTGAACTTCTGATACAGTAGTTTACAATATGATAAGGTTATAAAGTCCCCCTCTTTTGATAAGTACTTCCTCATTGCCTGCTTATCCTTGGACAAATATTGACTGGGTCTGAGTTATAGGCGTGACGTAACACAACGAGGGGACTAAAGCAGGGGTATCAAACTCAATTTCATCGCGGGCCACATCAGCATTATGGTTGCACTCAAAGGGCCGGTTGTAACTATATAACTATATAACTATACATATATATAATATACATAAAATAATGTATTATATTACGTTATTGCCTCTGCATTGGATTATTATCGGATAGGGTAATAACTTCATAATTAACTACGTCTGAAAGCAGAAGTCCAGGGCAAATAATTGCAAGTCTCTTCAGTGCGCATGTCACAAAATGAGATGCATTGTGGGACATGTAGTTTATGGGAAACCTGCTTCTGTAAAGTGACATGTGACCATATAATAAACGTATTATATTCTTTGCAAGTTCTTGCGGGGCCACATAAAATGAAGTTACGGGCCGGATTTGGCCCCCGGGCCTTGAGTTTGACACCCTAAAGGGTATTTTAGGTCTTTTCTGTTTTGAGAATCTTGAGGTTGACCTTATGAAATGTTTTGTGCACTCAGCAGCTTGTGGACAAAGTGTGTCTGCTTTTCCCTGACGTTATGTTCCACGGGACGATGCCATTATCTGTGTTTTGAGGTAAAAGCATTAAAAAAACATCCCATTAGGAACAAAGTATCTAGTGCTTCTTTTATTAAAACTCTTAAAATCACTATTTCTGCACAAACTGAGAGGTCGGAGGCTACAAATCACTAAATAACCTCAGCTTAGTTTCTGCTTATGTCAGGTGAAAACCTTGTGATTCTAATTTCAGCTGTTTTTTTGCTCGCACTGAAAAACAATCCTCCTCCTTTCCCTTGTGAAATCTCAGGCTATTAATCGAGCTGCGTGTTGGGTTTTATGTTCTATGGTTTTATGTCATAATGGGATTGTGAGAATTGATGGAATATATATGTCGTGCAGCTTTGAGTTTACCACTTTGTTTAAGTATTGTCAGGGGAAATGAGTAGGATAAATTAAAGAGGCCCTATCATGCTAATGCTCTAAGTACCTTTTGTTAGCAGGTAAGCCTGTGTTGCAGATACCTGGTTTATACCCCCATTGGTCAGGTTTCAGGAAGCAGGTCAGGGGGAACGGCAGTAGAGGAATGGAGGCGGAAGGGGGAGTTTAGAGGAAGGGTACACACTTTTACATTCCCAGATGAGGATTAGCAGTCACAAGTTCTCTGCCTGCTCCTAACCCGACCTGATTGTGAAGCTTTCTGCTACCTTTACACACACACACACACACACACACACACACACACACACACACACACACACACACACACACACACACACACACACACACACACACACAGTAGGATTGTACATTCACAGTCTATTTGCACACTTTACTGTGCTGTAGATTTCAATTTAAACGGATAAAAGTGTGAAGTTAATTAGCTCTCAATAACTAATACTGACAGCATGCTTTTATAATTTATTGTAAATGTATTAAAAACCAGAAACAACATTTTGTTTAGGAGGATCCTGAGGTTTCCAAAACAGTCCCTTCCAAACAA